AAAAAAAAAAAAAGAAAGGGCCAAGGGGCCTGACCTGTCTCACTATGGGATCCCGGTATCTTATATCATATGATTCCTGCATGCATATTTTGCTCCTCAAAGGATAATTTTTGGCCCCCTGTGATTTCTGTTCGTCTAATCTGGGTACCACCTGGAGGAAGCAATGCAGTGTGGCCACCGACAAAGGGGCTCCTGCTTTTCCTGTGCTCTTGCAGATCCCCCGGATCTTCCTGCTTTGCCTACCTCCCTGTCTTGTTGAGATTTGTTGTGTCTACCAATGTTGAAATAAGAACAAAGATCATAAAGTGGAACCGCTATTCAGTTTGCAAAAGGTGACAGGAAAGGGCAAAAATACATATTTAAAGAGGCTCATTTTTTCAAAAAGCCTAGTGATTATTTCCTCTCAGAATAAAATTATGTTAAAATCATTCTCTGCAAGGAGGGGAAAAGATGGTCTTTGGAGAATAAAGCTAAACTAATTTTAGCTCCATTTGCATTTCTAGTACATTAACAACTTCAATTTGGAGTGTGGAGGGGAGGAGAGAGGCTGACCCAATTACGCATCTTAAGAGGGGGCAGGACAGACAGAGCTGTGCCTTCAAAGGCTTACTTGGGCCAGACAGGTATGCTTCGGTCACACAGCTTGCAGGGAGGTGACATTCCTCCCTCCTCTTCACTCCTCAGCTCTGGAGCCTCCAACCTTGGACTTGAATGCCATGAAGGCTCACAGGAACAGCATGATGCGGTGGACAGGGCAAGGGTGGATTCCTTGCCTTGGGCAAGTCACAGCCTCTTTGCTTCCTGTTCGCTCCTATGAAATGGGAACTATTCATGGTTCCCGTGAGGATTCCAGGTAATCATGTACGTAAATCACCTGCACAAGTAGACTTTTAAGAAGGGTAGTACGAGATCCTAGAAAATACATAGTGATCTCTGCGCCCAGTTCAAAGAGCTCCTGTAACCCTGGTCATTTCCTAGGTGATTGGAGCACTAGGATAATCTTTTGTCCTTATATTTGATCTTTGACTCAGCTTCCTGACACAGGGCTGCTGAAACCCTTGCCATTTGCTGGGTAATAGGAGTGTCTTTTGTTCTAGGTGGGCTTCTGGATGGGGCTGGTCAGCAGGAAGATAAAGCCATGAGTAGAGGCTTGGAATTTTCAGCCTTGCCTCTCATTCTCTTAAGAAGGAAGAAGGGCTGAAAATGGAAGTAAAGATCTATCATACCTACATGATGAAGCCTCCATAAAAATCCCAGAAGTATGGGGTTCAGAGAGCTTCCCGGTTGGTGAACACACCCACGTACTGGGAGGTAATGGGCCCCAACTTCACAGGGACAAAAGCACCTGTCTCAGGACCCTCCCAGACCTCGTCCTGTATATCTTTTTATTTGGCTGTTCACACAGAAGCTGTTGGTAACCTGGGGACCTACTACTTGCGATTGGCATCAGAAGTGGGGCGGGAGAAATCTTGTGGGACTGAGCCCTTAACCTGTGGGGTCTGATGCTATTTCCAGGTAAATAGTATCTGAATTGAGTTAAATTGGAGGACACCAAGTTGGCAACATTAGAAGATTGCTTTATGTGGGGGAAAACCCCACATACTTGGTGACCAGAAGTGTCAGATGTTCAGTGTTCTGTGTGAGTAGTAAAGAAAAACTCACAGGAGGAAACAACTGTAGGTTTTCCCCTACACAGGTAGCTCCGATTATAGCTGAGCCCCACTCATCATCCCTATTATCCATCCATCCATCCATCGGTACCATCAATGGGTAGTGGTGAGACAGATGACGGGTACAGCCTGAGGCTCTGGAAGTTGATGGGTTCCTGAAAAGTCTTTCTTACCTCCAAGTCATGTAAATCAAACGAAATGCAAAATGCACCTGGTACTCTTGCTATTTGTAAATGACACATAAAAAAACCCATAAAGCAAAGACTTGGCTCTTCAAATCTCTGATTTATAAATAGGATTTCACATATAATTATAGACCCTCAGATGGAAAGGGACCCAGTTCTTCTGGGAGGTTGTGGATGCAGAGGGAAAAATATACCCATTATGTGGTTTTACACAGACTGAAATGAAACAAATAAATACCCCTTGCTTTTATTTTACACTTAGCTTTTTTTAAAATTACTTCTACCCTTTTTAATAGTGAACTTTGTCAAAGTGATCTGGAAGTA